CCCTATGAATACCTAGGTTAAAATCTTACTTCAATATTAACACAGTTTTATTATGAATTAGGTTCGAGCATTGCTGTAGAGCGTGGTGAAGTAGGTGCTCAGTAGACACCCTAACCGACCCCATTTTGTGAGGTGTGTTCCTTGCATACTATATACTTGTTTTTCTATTTTGAAATGTGTTTTCTGAATTTATTGTTTCACCAAACCTTTAAACAACTATATGTGATTTATTCATTTACCGAATTATCGGATTACTGTTTATGAATTATGATTGTTTGATATATGTTATCTGGTTACTTGTTTACACTGGAAATATGATTATGCTGATTACATATTCATGGAAATTCCTACTTACTATGTAGACAGTTTTATTGAGATATTGTTTTGGGTAGGATATTGGAGTATCTCTAATCAAGCAAGTAATACCTTACGGACCTAAGGTGACCCTTAGGTAGGCTCTGAGGCTCAAGAACTTTCTTGGGTAGGCCCAAGGTACTATATTAGGATAGGTCCTATACCCAATGGGTATAAGGTAGCCCTTGTGGATGGAATTATGGGGGAACTGCATTTTGGTGTAAATAAGGAGGGTAACTATGAGTTTTAAATTCAACTTATCGATGACCTTTACGAAACCTGTTGAAAACATTTTGATGTTTAGATATAACAAATAAAGTGCTTTAAGATTTTTTTAATTATATATTCGATTTAATTATTCGAATATAAAAAATATTACTCCAAGTTTTCAAGTGTCAATTTTACTCCTTACTTAAGTGTAAAATTGTGTTTCAATCTTAAAATATTTTTGAAACAATTTTTACAAAGTATTTCGAACCTTAATCGAACCAAAAATGAGTTTTAAGTAGGGAGGTACCGATACACTCTTCGGATGTACTGATACACTCTTCGGATGTATTGATACCCCTCAATTTCAAATAAAATAAAGGTACAAATACATAGCTGAATGTATCGATACCCCTCATGTCAAAATTGGCTCCGAGAAACATCGAATGTCATAGGTGTACCGATACCCCTAGGAGGTACCTATACCATTGGTCATCTAACGGTCGAAATATTTGAATTTTACACAGGATGTATCGATACCCCTTGAAGGTCTACCGACATCCCTACGCTCCCAACAGCTTTTTGAAGTAGAATTCACACCACAACTGCTCTATTGACTTCACCAATGATCCCTAACGTTCAGAATTGATCCAAGGTCTATTTAAACAAATTCTGAAGCCTATGATCAACAAGTATTGAGAAAGAATCAAGAGAGAAAGCATTAAACATCCAGTTTGTGAAATTCAAGCCAATTTTCATTCAATATTCATTTTGCTTTCAAGAACACATTTTGTGCTCAATTGTATTTATTATTGAGTGTTCTTTCCTTATTCTAGAATTGTGCAAACAATCTACCTTGTGAAGTTTTTCTGTAAAGTTTGAGAATTTGTAATCTTCTCTTTGGAAGTGAGTGTTCTCAAGAATTTGGGGTATAATTCTTGAGGGTGTTGTAAGGTTACTCTTTGTCCTCAAAAGAAAAACAAATTTGTGAATTTGTGGAAAATCCCTAGTGTGGATAGCTAAGGTAGTGGACGCAGACTTTAGTTAAGAAAGTTGAATCACTCCAAATCACTGTGCAAATCATTTCAATTTTCTGTCAAAGATTCCATCGAAATTTTAATTGTCAATTCACCCCCTTGGCAGATTCATCCGATCGATTAACTCAACAAAACCTTATTGAAACACTTATTTATTGTTTTATCTATTATGTTTTGTTTGCACTATTGGGACACATTGAGCTCTCTAGCTCACCATTTTCAAACTGTTTCCCCCCCTTTCATATACTTTTGGATAGCCACCCCGAACCAGACATTTGGAGGATCAACACATTCTTACTGAACTTTTTATTGTAATGTTTCTATCTTCCGAACTGCATTATTTACAATGACATGTGTCGTTATTTTGAAATACTTATGATTATGATTTTCACTGCGATATGAATTATGATGTATTTTATTTTATTAGTCACTGACGGATTGATATTTACTCGATTAAATTTTTATCATTTTTAACTATGTGTTCTTTTTGTTAGATATTGTTTATAATACAATTTTAAATTATCGAAAATGTTTTTTGGAAATTTTATTGTAATCCGCTAGATCTAGTCGTAACGCATAGGCTGAGTCTAGGGGGTTACAGTGATGGCATGTCACCACCTATGTGATAAAAAGATAGAAATCATTCCTACTCTTAGATGAATTAAATTTGGGTCTCTTACATAAGATACACATCACTCAATCCTTAAGCTAAGTTAGTCATTTAGTTAAATTTCATTACATTTTGTATTTAACTTATATAAAAGTATCACCAAAAAATCAACAATTTTCGATGATTATAAGATTCAAATATGAGACATTTTAAATTAATGATTGAAAGCTTAACCATTCAACTATAATTTGAATACTTTTCTTATTATACTGAACTTAATACTTATATATATTATTATTAAATTAAAAGACTAATTTTCACTTTATTTAAAAATAAAATAATTAAATAATTAATATATGTTTATAATATTAAATAATTAAAAAAAGTATATTTATAATATTATAAAAATATTTATTTAGTTTTTAAAATCATATTAATTATTTATTTGAAATAATATTATTTTTCAATTTTCTGTTTAATTTTAAATAATTTAAATTTTATGATAAATTACACATTTAGTATCTGACTATCACTTTGATTTCATATAATATTATTCAAAATTAAATAAATAGTTTAAAAACAATGTTATTAATAAAAAAATATGATTTTAAAAATAAATAATTTTTTTTATAATATTATAAATGCTTTTTATAAACATTTCATATAAATTTTATAAATATATAAAATTTATTAATTTATTTTTAAATAAAATAAAAATTATTCCTTAATTTAATAATGATATAAGTAAGTATTAAGTTCGATATAATAAAAGAAATGTCGTATTATAGTAGAGTGACTAAACTTGCAGTCATTAATTTAAAGTGTCTCGTATTTGAATATTATAATCATAAAAAATATTTATTTTGTGGTGATATCGTATATAAGTTAAATACAAAATATGATGAAATTTACTCAAATGATCAACTTAGCCTAATGGTTGAGTGTAGGGACGGACACAAGATTTAATATTAAGGGATACAAACTTAAATATATAAAATTTCAGAGGATGAACTTGAAGTTATAAAATTATGTGGTGGGGGGGCAAAAACATATTTTCAATAAAAAATACATTAAAAAAATATAAACCTCCTAGGACCATCCCTGGTTGAGTGATTTGTATCTAATGTAAGAGACCCAAATTCAATTCATATTAGCGTAAAGTTTTTTATCTTTTTATTCTCACAGGTGGTGACTAAGAGGATAATAATTTTTATCTTTTTATGTCATCACCTAATTAGTTGAATAAAATTAGTTAAAAATACTAACGAATAAATAAAATAGTGATGTGATAATTAAATAATAATAATAAACTGATATATCGTGCTACATAAGCATTGCCCTTAACGTTTTTAAAAAAAATTAAAGTTTAGATACTAAAATAAAACAAAAGTGATAATTTACATACAAAACGTGCAATTAATCTTTTTTATATTTACTTAATAATGTCAATTTAATTAATGGTGTATTTTGATGTGTTGCTTTAGTAATGTGCTGGGATGTGCAACATATACCATATATTTATCCCTTAAAAAAATAATGTTAAAAATATTAGAGATCTATTTTAAATAATTTTTGAATGTTTAAAATTAATTTAAATATAATTTGAACATTTATAATCAAAACAAAACAAAGTAGGTTGTCGAAACTCGGAATGGATTGGGCCTTGGAGAAGAAAAATTACTTGCATTTCAATATTGATAGAGAAAAGTAACATTTTACCCCTCGCTTTTTTTTAGCAGTGGAATTAACATCGTTAATATCGATCTAACCTCGAAAATGTCCAACACCCAAAAAGCGTTCAAAATCGAAGAACAATTCACATCCTTCTTCATCTGCTTCAAAATCTTCACTAACAGCTATAATCGAGCCACCCCAGAGCTTACTCCCTTCCAAAAGAGAGTTCTTGCGGCTCATAGCCGTACTCCAATCGCATCCGCTGTAGCTCTCTCCTGCAACTTCTTCGCTACCTTCTTCAGCTCCACCTCTAAACCCTTTTGCGATAATTTAGACCCCACCGATTCATTCTTTGGTATTTTATTCTCTCGCTCTCTCTCTCTTTCTCGTGCCGTTTCTTCATTTTTGTTTATCTTTGTTCTCTTGGTATCTTTTCCTATTAATTTTCATCCATTCCGTTATTAATTTGGTTTTCTTTGTAGCTTTAGCTATGGGCACGTCTATTCATTTTTCTTCTTAAGAACCAATTTTCCTCTTCATATATATAGAGAGCCAGTATCGAGTTATACAATGTAAAGTTAAAAAAAGTATTACACTTATTAACTATTGGATGGGATAAAATAAATACTAAATGAGAAGATAATCACAGAAAAAACGAGTTAATACGAATAGGAGATTTTCACTCCTCCGTTGTTTCCAAATCAGTGTAAAACTAAAAGGTTTGAGGTTGTGTAAGCGGAATCTAATCCATATATATATATTAATTCTAGTTTCAAGTTGCCTGCTTGAATGTGATGGATTTCAATAATCTTCTGACAAATGTTTATCACTACAGATGCATGTGAGCCTTGTCCAAGTAATGGGGAATGTTATGAAGGCAAGTTGGAATATATTTATGGCTATTGAAGACATGGAAAGCTGTGTATAGAAGATCGAGATATCAATGAAACTCCTAAGAAACTTGTATGTTATTAATATTTTGCCCAATTTGGTACATAGATATTTTAAGTACCACTATGGCATCTTTTTCCTTGGAATATTATATACAGTTTTTCTTTCTTCTGATTATCATTTATGCATTGCAGTCCAAATGGGTAGAAGCTGGCCTTTGTGAACCTTATGCTAAAGTCATGTGCTATTAGACTAGGACAGTTTGGGTATCTCATGATATTCAATTTCATATGATAATGCATGCATATCACAGTAAATTATGTATCCTAGAATTTATAAACCATACATAACTATGTCAATTGTTCGAAACATGTACTGTTTTATAATGCATGCATATCACAGTAAATTATGTATCCTAGAATTTATAAACCATACATAACTATGTCAATTGTTCGAAACATGTACTGTTTTTAGGTTCAGAAAAATGATCTCTGGAATGATTTAGATGAACACAAGTTGATGCAAAATGTTGGCTCAGACCATACCACATATGTGTATACAAAAAGAAAGGCAATGGAGACAATATCTAAATCATTAGAGACGAGAGCAAATCTCCATGGGTATGCTTGTCATAATCTATTTTATGTTTCAGCATTTTGAAAAATTTAATTTATATTTCTCTTATTTTTTAATAGGTTACAGGAATTCAAGTGTCTAGATGCTCTGGCATAGTATTACAAACCTATGACCTGCCGTATCCGTGAATTGGTATTCAATCGTGCTCATATAATTTTGCCTGTTTGTGCAGCGGTAATCCTGTCTGAAAGTCATCCTTTGAATTCTTTAGTTATAGTATCAACATTTTGAAAGTTAACAATGTTTAGCTTTATAGCTTATAGGATGTGCAGTATTATTTTGGAAAGCCCGTAAGAGAAGGTATCTTTTAGCTAGAGCAGAGGAGCTATACAATCAGGTACACAAATTTCATAACTATCTTGATAATGTGGAAATGTTTGTTTGTGAAAAATTTCATGCCTTTGATAATATCCCGAATCTTATGTGATTGTTTAAAATTGTAACCACTCTGAATGTATTCTAAAAATTTTAGAGAAAAAAAAGGATCTCTGATGCTTCTTATATATATTTAAATAATAAATAATATGGTAACTAATTGCTTTTACTTGTTAGGTCTGTGGCATGCTTGAGGAGAATGCCTTGAGGTCAAAGAGCATGGATGGGGAAGGTGAATCATGGGTTGTTGCTTCATGGTTGCGAGATCATCTCCTTTTGCCTAGGGAAAGAAATGGTCCTCAGTTATGGAAAAAGGTATGTTTTACATGCCTATGCTCATTGATCGAGTATGATGTTGCCTTTTCTTTCATAGTTGGTTAGAAGTTAGGCGTAAATCATGGATTTATGATAATATTTTATGTTCATAGATTGAAGTTTTAATTGGGAAGATATTTTAGTCAAGCAATTTGCAAGGTTTTAACAAATAACCCATATCCTCTAAGTTGATATCAACCTTTAACGTCATTTCAGGTTGAGGAATTGCTATAGTATGATTCACGAGTCGATCGCTACTCTAAGCTTTTTAAGGGTGAGTCAAAAGTGGTGTGGGAATGGCAAGGTTCAAAACCTTTATTTGTGTGTTTTACTTTAATTAAGGAACTTGAATTTTTCCAAAACTCAATTGTATTGTCATTTTTAATAATTAACTATTATTCAAACTAGCTTCTTGAGAACCATTATCATATCTTCTGATCTTCACTAGATGCTAACGTGGTGTTAGAGAGATATTTGTATTAGCATCATAGTGTAACTTTTCCAATCTTGATGAGTCCCACTTAATTGCTTTGCAGTTGAAGGTTGTTTGAGCACTGCAGGGAAGAGAAAGAGGAAGGATGGAGGAGAAATGAAATCAGATGAAGACATTAATACAAACGTAAATTAATCATGCCAAACAGTGAAGGCTGGCTTTTGTACATATTATCTATACATCATTGATGTATGCTTCAGTGTGTCTGTATAGTTTGATTCTATACTTGTCTAATATACACACAACCAAAATCTTGATGCAGAAACTAAAGCCCTGATCTTTTGACATGGGATTTTCTTGGAAATAGCTATACATAACAACCTTTTCTCAATGTTTTATTTCCCAACCAATACAAGCTTAGAGTCTGGCAAAGCATATGACTTTTATGAGGTTCATAATAACTTAAGTAAAGGGTTTTACCAGAAAAATCAAAGATCTAAAGAGCTAGTTTTCCTCTAATTGACTGTGGATCTACAACCATTGGATATTGTTTTGGAGGTTAATACTTAATAGACAACCCCTTGTGAAGACCATACATAATACATCATGTAGGATAGAACAACTATTTGTTCATCTGTTGCATCAACAAATAGGCATGTAAATTAAGGGTTTGGGGTGTTCTTTATCTCTTAATCCTCTTATAATCTTCATTCTTGTTTGTAAACTCCTAAAATCATAGAAAATCTGATGTTTTGTTTATAAACATATTGAGTGTATAGTTAGAGCTTGAATTGTTCGATTTTGATAGAGAAGTGACTGCGGATGACGTACCTTGCCCATTCGTTGAAGAATCAAGCCTAGAAAACTCTAGGCTCGATAAAAAACAAGAGGGAAAGAATGGGAAGTTATGGTGACGGTAAAGAATGTAGGTATTTGGATTAGGGTTGTTGGAATTTGAGACAAAGAAACAAAGATTAAGACAATGAAAAAAAAGATATATAAAGATAAAATATATATAAGTATAACAGAAATATTAAACTTAGCCAATGGAGGTGTGTGGCAATAATGGAGGAATAGGATGAATTTGTGGAATATGAAGATAGATGAATAAATGTCCTATCGAACCCTCCTATTCGTAATGAAAAGACAAATTCGATAATACAACTCTAACCAGCCCTCCTAATTGCAATGAAAAGGAAAACCGGAGTGTGAAGATCTCTCTCTCAAGAACTTGAAAAGAACTCAAAGGAAAAGAAGCGTCGAAGGCACAAGACAATCAACACTTGCAAAAACGTACTCACGTTGTATTGTTTACAATGGTGTGAGAAGCCTGCTTTATATAGGTGAGGAAGAATCCTTGTTGTAACCTAACTATGTAATAAATAAATATGTCCTAATAATAATAGACTAAAGATAATTGTTTTAATTTCATCTTAGTTCCTAATAAAATAATAAATCTAATCTTAAAAGATAATGTATCATCCTATATTAAATTATATTACAAATGGTCAATGAAAATTCATAATGTTTATAAAATCTCGTATTAATCCCGTATAGGATTTTCTACATGCGTTATCTTAACTAAAATGGACATATCCTGAGTTCCTGATATCGGATTGAGGTGATTCAAGAACTTTTAGAAAGCTAAGAGATATACGATTGTAGCTATAGAAGACATGTTGACCAAATAACACCAGGATCCCATTAAAAAAGTAGTCATAAGTCTATTGCACTATTTTTCTTCTTTTCCAATGCTTTGTCATGTGGATCACGTAGAAGCGTTAGTCCATCTTCCTTTCATGTGAGCCTTGTGATTCATGTATTATCATTCCTCTCTTCAAAAGGATTCGACCTCGAATATGAAACATCAAAGGGAGAAATACTAGAGACTTCTAAAAATTCACTCACATTATACTTACCGAGTAGATATGCTTTGAATCTTTGAGACTTGGTTCTTCTAATAGGTTCAAGTAGAAACAATAGTCCAAAGAAGAATGCGTTGTAATCATTATAGACTCTGGTGCATATATCATTCCCCCTCTCCTCAAAAGGATTCGTCCACGAATATGAAAATCCAAGAAAGAAAATTAGACGTGTAGAAAGAAAAAATTGTAAAATACTTACCTAGATCAATGTGATGTGTCTTTATGCGGTTTAGTAGATGTTTCTTCCTTGTTGGATTCAAATTCTTAAAGTCTTGATATCATCTTTTGAATACAAGTCTTGGAATCCGATGTTTTGGTTGAAATTGAATATTGCGTAGGCTACTTTTGGTTTTTTTTTGTGATTGCTTCATATGTCCTTTCCATGGTTTTACACTTGTGTGGTGAGAAAGAGTGTTTAAAAACCATGTCAAGTAGTTCGTGAAAGTAGTTCGTGAAAGTAATCCATGAAGTCTCCCAAGTATGGTTCATGAGTTGATAATTATTGTGAGGAGCTTTGTGGACTGCATAACCTGTTCAGTTGAAAAGAAAACCCATCTACAAAATAGAACTCATTAAAAACACTTTTAAACGAATGAGTATATGTATAAGAAATATACGAGTCATCATGATATGCATATGTAATATGTTCAATTCTCAGAATAGTAGTATGCGTTTGATAGGTAAGAGTGTACCTTCGAAATAGTGCATCTTTTACTATGTTTTTTCTTACCTCGGCCTTTTATCCTCTTAAAGAATTTGTGTTTAGTGTGTATGACAAACTTTGTAGAAAGAAGATAGTGTTGCCATACTTTGAGTGCATGAACTAATGCCAAAAGTTCTTTTTTCATAGCTTTGAACTTCTCACTAAAGTAAGTGATATGTTATTTTTCCTGCATAAGAACTACGTCTATGTCTATACCTGAAGCATCACATTCTAGCTCGAAAGTGTTAGAACAACCGAGAATATAACAAATAGGTGCTGAACATAACATACCATTAAGAAGTTTGAATGCTTTTTGTTTTTGTGGTCCCCATTTGAATTCAATCAAAATTTCGGTGATTTTCATCAAAGGTGCGACAATGGTAGAGAAATATTTGACAAAGCGACGATAGAAGCTTGCTAAGCCATGGAAAGATCTTACCTCGGGTATGGAATATGGCGTGGGCCATTCTTGAATTGCCTTTACCTTTTCAACATCAACATAGATTCTTTGTGCACTAATTGTAAAGCCTGAAAGGATAAGCTTACAAAACAAGTACTTATCCATGTTAGAATAAAAATGTTCTCGTCGGAGAACATCAAGAACTGAGCGGATGTTGAAGACATGAAAATCAAGAGAAGGTGAGTAGATAAGAATATCATCAAAGTAAACAACATACTTACCTTTAGTGTGGTTTAGCTCTTGTTTCGACACTAAGATGGCACAATGACTAAGACTATCCTAGATGTAGCCTTTTTGCAGCAAATCAAACTCTTTGGTTTCTCCGAGATTGTTTGTTCGATGAGGCATGATGAAACCTTGAATTAGATCAGTTTGATATTGTTTCACTCTTTTTGGTGGTAATCTGTAAGGTGGATCACCTAATTCTTTTTAAAAATCCTGTAAAAGAGAAATAAACACACTACAAGAAAATAAACATTTAATGACACACGAACGATGACACACGCTAATTTATGAATTGCAAAAAATGTGTCATAAAAAATATAATGTTTTTTTAAAATCTGAACGATTTATGACTTACAATAATGTGTCATATTGAATAGTCATAATCCAAAAAATTTGCAAAAACATGGAGTACATTTTTTAATTGTGTGTCATATGTAAAAGTCATTTTTTAATTTCCCCCATTATTTTCATCCTTTCCCGCTTCTTCTTCCTCCACCAATTTCAATTACTTCAATTACGCATCTGCTTTCTCAATTTGCACTCCAAACGCCGTTGTAGACCAAACACTTTCTCCTTCTCATCAACGTTTCTACTCCTCATCGGCGGCGCCCTCTCATTCTCCCTCATCGGACTCCGTTTTAAAGCTATGGTTTCTCGCTAACAAATCTGATGCCTTTAGGCCTTTAAATTTCAAAGCTAGTGATGCGATCCAACTGGCTCGTCACTACGGTCGGTGTTACTAGGAGCTCTCCAAGGCTCGTCTCAGGTTAAACCTCAATTAAGATTTTTAGGCAAAATTTAAAGGTTTGATTAAAAAAGTTAACTTTTTTTGGGTGGTTCGATTTACTAGTATGTTGGTGGTGGCGACTTCGGGGACTAGATATGTGCTAGAGAGTGGAGACGCCGTTGATTTGGCGGGTCTTTGTTGTACTTGTGCTGGAACCATGATGGTTGCTGCTTCGGCTAATTCGTTGAATCAGGTTGTCTTTTAAATATTCGATTGTTTTCATTGAATGCTTTGTCATGCACAATTTTAGAATGCTAACTAATAGGTTATTTGTCATGCACAATCTTTTAAATCTTTTCTTGAGGAGTTAAAGGTTCTTAGATATTTGATAAAATTATTCTTTCTTAGATATTCAGAAGTATGTTTTGTAAAGAAATGTGAAAAAATTGGAGAAAAGTATTATTATTCTTGAGGTTTTCCTTTCATGTAATTATTTAATAACAAAAGATGCACCTTTTAGGTTCAAAAGATTGCACTTTTGTAAAGGCCCTTATGTTTTGACATTCTTTTTTTCTTTCCTTTTTATTAACGTTGGTAGAAACTAGGACCGGGACAGATGTACAAACATAGCTTTTAGGTGCAAAAGCTCATTGGTTATGATTTAAATCCATCGACATAGCTTTATTGATAGAAGTGATAGATAAGTACCATGTCAAAAGGGGATAGGGAAAGAAACAATTATAAATTATTTGATATTCTAGGAATCAAATTCATGACTTGCAAATTGTAATTTCTTCTTACATTCTTTCTTGAACACTATGTTTTTCTTACATTTGAGTTGGTCAATGTTGCAAGGATGTGACAACATGGTGGTTGTATTTTAAGTTACTTTCATGAATTAACTAGATAGGCTGACATTTCAGTTAACCAATGGTATTCATGCCTTTAGGTTTTTGAGATAAATAATGATGCAAAAATGAAGCGAACAAAGCTAAGACCTCTACCTTTAGGACGCATTAGGCAAATTAAAAATTAGTTTCGACTGTAATTGCTTTGAAAGGACTCGGTGCTATTCTATTTGTATTTGGCTATGGCTTTGAAGTCTTTCTCCTAGTGAGATTTTTGTTTCTTAAGAGTGATTATTTTGGTTCCATTTGAACTATGAATTTATATGTTAATTCCACAGAGCAGTTACGTTTTATTCTACTTTCGTGTCTTATCTAATTGTTCTTTCCTTTGCCGTAGTTTGTGTATTTACTGGTTAGCACTCCTCTTCTCTATGAATTCTACAACTATCGACCTGAAGAGCCCCAGTACGCTGCTCTGCTCGGTGATTTTCTATAGGTATTTTCATGTTCATATCCGAAGTGTTTCCCTATGCATTATGAAATACAACGTGCAAACTTCATTGATTCTTTCATTAATGGCAGTCTGTTGCGCAATGCGGTGCATTATTGTTCTTCTGGGTGATGAAGAGCTTGATCACAAAGAGGCAACTAAGGATTATCCATTACCGAACCGAACTTAATTGTACTCCAACCCTTTACATTTCAATTCCTTCTCGTTCAACGAATAACGTATTTAAAGACTTCTTATTGTGGAACGTCTCAGAAAGAATTCTTCGTGGAAACCGTATGTACTTAAAATATTTGATTGTTTTCTTTTAATTTTCTTTTATTTATTATTTATGTGGATTTAAAGACTGGTTCAGGTATCTTGATATGCTTCCCACCACTTTTGGGAATCCGTTATGGTTTACCGATGATGAGATGTTGGAATTGAGAGGAATAATCTTGTATAGAGCAACTGAATTGTGGGTAAATATAAGCATATAGTTTAACGTTTCTCTTGAAGATGAAATGCATGTAATTTGACTACCCATGATGATGAAAGTTAGTGTAATTGTTTTATAGAAAAAGGATTTGATTTCTGTGTACGAAGATAAAGTGAAGGGTTTGGTGAAGAAACTTCTTGCTCTTAAGGGAGTTTCAGAAAGGTCAGTATTAATTACATCGAATGAAGTGTGTTTATTTTCCTTTTTCCCAATTATGAATTGTTGTTAATGCTTCTTTTGCAGTGAGGTATGCTTTGAAGATTTCCTTTGGTAGGGATCTCCTCAAAATGAACTCTTTCTTATTCTCTCTCAAAATGGGGTGGGTGGGGACAATGAAGGAGATTGACAATGAAATGATGACATTCCTTGCACTTCAAACTTTGGTGATTAATACTGCGTGATTTCTGTAATGCTAGGGCGAATTCTATATTTTGGTCTCGTGCTCTGAACCTTCCTCTTCCACATTCTTATGTATTTCCCCGAATTCAAGAAGATACCAAGACAACCTGTTTAGTTGAAAGAAGTTCTGAGGTGACCATCAATCATAGTGGACTAAGTGGAGAGTCTGTTAATGAAATTAATGGAAAAAGTGAGGTTACACTTTATTTCTTACCATTTTTGTGCCTGGATCTGTCCTCTTATTTGCTTTCACAGGTGAAACTTTACTGTATTAACATGGAGCTAAGGTTAAAGACTTTTATTTATTTTGAGTTTATATTAGGATTTGAGGGTCATGAGAATGATAACAAAGTCAATGGAGCAACTTCCACATCGAAACAAGAAGAAACTGTCTGGGTGGAGGGTCTTCTCCCTGGCATTGACTTTTGCAACCATGGTACGTTAGTTTTTATTAGTCAGTGGCTCTCTAGTCAATTGGTTAGAGTCTATTCTCATGGAATCTTTTGGTTGTTAATTTTATTTTTAGACTTGAAGGCAGTGGCAACATGGGAAGTTCCTGTCCCAAAGGTAAGCATTAATGCATTATTATTTGTAATCAATAAGCTTAATTCTCAGTATTATTGGAAACGTTCTTTAATAAAATGTAAGTTCCAATGTCAATATGCCTTTTGTTCCTAATATTTTATGTGTTGCTAATTAGTTCCCTTTGTTTGGGGCTCTACTGCTATGCTTTTAACTGATCTATGAATTTCTTGTTTTTGCCTTTACGATATCCTTTGTGTATTCTATTTTTCATGCATATAGCATTGCAAGCATATTTCAAAGTTAAATTACTATTAATAGTATATTCCCGAGGAAATTTAACTTATATGTGACTTCTGTGGTTACCAGCTGATCAGTATGTAATTTAGTAATTTAAAATGAGTAATTCCTGTTTTCATACTTTATGCATTATTGTCCGTCTTTCCCACCTTAGAGGGATTGTAATTGGAGTTCTATGTGCCAAGGTGGGTATTTGAGTTGTAATATATTTCCCGTTTAGAAGTTGTGAATTAAGCATGCTGATAAACATAATTGAATTATTTTGATTATTAGTTTTGACATAATTGGACTGCTTAGCGTTGTACTATTCTTGTTCCTTATCACTTCATTTTCAATTTTCTTTTGTAGATATACAATGAGCAAATAACAGATTTATTGGATCCAAATCGAAGAAACCTGCAGGTAGAATGGATTTTGTGTTATAATTTTGGGAAGGGGTCGGGAACAGCTGGTGCATCTGATGTTCCTACTAGTTCAGTTGAAGCCAATGCTCATTCGCAGCCTGTTTCAAGAGTTCTCGACTCAGAATAAGCAACTTCAAAATTATAGAAGGAGTTAGAGGAGTTGCATCTAAGATCTTATAATCTGTTAGTATCTTCTTGTGATAATCTGAGAACATTCTTGGTTTTTTGTTTTCAAATAGCCATAGGTGATGGATATTATGTTTGTAACTTAATGTGAATATATTGTATGAAAATGGATTTCTTATATATAATATGATATATATATTTAGTATTATGAGGCATTAAATGTGATTTAGTTTGATTATTTGTCAATCTACACTATATATATATATATATAACAATAATTTACGAAATACAATCACGACACACGAATGTGTGTCATCTTTTTTAATGGTGTGTGCTTCAATGACACGCAATGTAAGTCATACATGCGTGTCATAAATTATGACACACAAGTGTGTGTCATCTTAATTTATGACGGGGGCTTCAATGACGCTCAATGAACATCATAAATGCGCGTCATAAATGTGTGTCATAAATGCGCGTAATAAATTTATGACGCACAGTTGCGCGCCATCTTAAATTCATGTCGGTGGCTTCAACGACAGGCAAATGTGTGTCATCCGCACCCATAGATGACGCGCAATGCGCGTCATTAAAGGGGTTTTTTCTACTAGTGACACACTATAAAAATCCTTGTTAATGTTAGAAATCGAAACAAGTGATTCCTTAAAGCGAACAAGGATGCAAGGCTTTTTGTGAAAAAGGTTCTCTCGTAATTCTTTTGTGATCACACATAGATTTTGAGCTACTCTTTTCTTCTCACAATTAGGTTCACTCACCTCCCGTAGGTCATTTTCTTGGCTTTTATGGGTTGTGACCTCTATTGTTTTTGCCTCTTTTTCAGTGCCTTTTTTTCTTTTTGCAATCTCCCACCCTCGTAAAATTTCATCACATGACTTTAAATTACATCTTTTGATTCCAATGGTGTAAGGCTAAGTGATTGAAGATCGGTATTTTCTATTACAATGCTGCTAGCATCGTTTTAATCAATGTCATTGTCTGATTTAGTATCCTCGGTAGAAGCTGGAGTAGAAGAAGAAATGGAAGTAGATGAATCACCTTAGGTATATTCGTTTACAATGCTGCTAGCATCATATTCTTCGATCTCATTGTCCAAATAGTATTCGTGGTAGAAAATGGAGTAGAAGAAGAAGTGGAAGTAGATGAATTACCTTGGTAAGTAGAAGAAGCACCTTGGTAAATAGATGAAGTATATTGGTAAATAGATGAAGTACCTTGGTAAGTGTCTCTGAAACGATACTTTCTCTAAATTTTTGATTCGATTATCATTGCTTTCTTCAATGTATCTTCAAGTCTTTCATAACCATGTAAGTCAAGAAGATTAATGATGTTTGGATGCAAGCTGGTGACAAATCTACTCACTGTTTATCATTCCGCTTCTTGTATGTCTACCCGATTCATTAAGGGGGCGTTTAGATGGGGGAATGTGGGATTCCCATGGGAATGTAATCCACATTCCCCCGTTTGGTTAGTCGGGAATCTCATTCCCGGTAATGCAAGATTACCAATAGTGGATTTTTAGGATATATTACCAGGAATGTCATTACCTCCGTTTCCTTAGGTATTGTTGGATTACCGACGTTTTGGACTAAAATACCCTTAATTTTTTTAAAAAAAATATCATTCTTCTGTCATTGAATAATAAAAATTATACGAAGGTTAAATTACAAATTTATCCTTAAACTATTTTAGATTTACAAAAAAAAGTCTATAATTAAAATTTTATATGAAGTTCAAGGGTTAAAATAAAGTTTTACATTTTCATTTAACCTTTTTTATATTTTCAATTTTGTAAAAAATTATATAAATTTTATGAATTTATTTTTTTTAAAGAAAATATATAAATATTTTCTAACTTATTAAAAATAAATATATAATAAGGACAATTTGGTCAAATATGCATTCCAATAATCTTTTATTCCTTTAACCAAACAAGGTAATCTTATATTCCTGCTAAGCCAACCAAACACAAAATACAACATTCCCAGTAATCATATTCCCTGGTAATCTTACATCCCCACTAGTAATCTTACATTCTGTGAACCAAACACACCCTAAGGATGTTATCTCCTTGTAGTAGTCTTCTAGTGATATTCTATTTTGTCGAAGTCGGTGAAGTCATTGTTTAACTTCATGAAGTAGTCTTCCTCTGAAGTTTTGATTCGATTATCATTGCTTTCTTTAATGTATCTTCAAAGCTTTAATAACCATATAAGTTAAGAAGATTAATGATGTTTGGATGCAAGCTGGTGACAAATCTATTCACCGTATATCATTATGCTTCATGTATGCCTGCACGATTCGTTAAGGATGTCATCTCCTAGTAGTAGTCTTCTACATATATTTTGTCTTGTCAAAGTCAGTGAAGTCATTGCTTAACTACATGAATGTAGTCTATCAGTATAAAACATTTTATCATTACTCGTTTAAGATTTGTCCAAGACATGATGTCTGGTATTCAAAAACCTTATATTGCCTTTCGTGTTTGCTTCCACCAAGTGAGAGCATAACTGTGGAATTCTGAGGTGATCGATGGTACTTGTTCTTTCATGGGAGAATTGTAGTGTGAGAACATGAAGTTGACTTTGCTCTCCCAATTTATGTAGCCGTCCGGATCATAATCTCTTTGAACTGTGGAATTGTGAATACTTTTGCTGATTGATAAATTATGTTAAGTTTGTCCATTCGTTTTTTAAGTCCCGTAAGTACTTCCATTTTATGATTAAGAGCAAGGATAACTATAATGTCCTAAAGTTCTTTGTAACGTTGTAAGGTTTGCTTAACCCTTTGCGCAGTTTCATAATGTTCCTCACCAATGATTCGAGGCTAGAGCATAGTTGACGTTGAGTCAAAAGGATCTATTGCGGGATAAAACCTAGATCTCTCGAAGAAGGAGGACAAGCTCCATTAACGTTTATGGTGATGGTATTGGGTTGAGGCTAATTCCCACGCAATACTTGTGCATCAAAAATGACGAGAACATTGTGAATCGTCTAACTGTAGTGGAATAAGCAGAAAGAATAATTATACTGGAGTGAATGAATCACCTGCCATGTTGGAAGTAGGTGACCCTCATGGAAATAGAGACGATGGCAATGACAAGTATTCCAAAGTAACATAAGTAGGAGAAGAAATTGACGTCGTGGTATAACATGCAATAAAGTTTGTAATCAAGAACCTGCTGATGATTGTGGTGTAGAAAAAAGGCAGAACTAAATTCCATGGCTCGTAGAATGGATGAAGCGTCGTTTCAATCTCTCAAGTCATGAAGGTCAATTTCAAAAGTTGCTCCACAAACGCAACAACTGTCAGCAATATTAGCTAAGGAGAGGAGGTGACTTGTTGGCAATGCCTTATGAGCCACTCTTTAACCGAATATTCGCCTCATGTTCCTCTTGCCCCAAAGAATATTACCCCTTAGCATTCAATTTCTTTGCCCCAATTTCTGATTCTGAGTGTCTGAGACTTTTCTCAGACACCATTCTAGGGAAATTATCTTATTTGACAATATTTTTCTTTTTTCAAAAAGTTTGTTGAAGAAAATAATGTCATTTCTTAGGCTCACAATTGAAGCAAATCACAAATCATGAGTTCACTGAATATCAAAAGAATCAAATGCTCTTTTGATTTTCAAAGTTATGACCTTTGACAAGTGTCAGGATTGATGGGCCAATTTCAGGTTGGCTTTCTATTTCACTAATACTTCAGTCATCGAGATGTCATTCTTTTTTAGTCCTCATGAACGTTGTGGCACGACCCTTTTTCTCAGCTTGTCATTTTAAACGGATGCGGAAAAAATGTCATAATTAGTATAATAAATTGCTAAACCTTTTAGAACACTTCTATTTTAGTTATTTGAAATCTTCTACTTGTTCAAGCTTTATAAAATCCTTCAGCAGAGGTAGTGTAGAAATATCGGTCTAAAAATAAAAATCTTGGGTGCTTGTGTGAAGTTGACTATAATAAGTATTTCTCAACTCCCTTAGTCCATCTTCATCAGAAATGTTTATTAATTTAAACCCTAGACATTATTGCCTTTATTCCTTGAAATTCATCAAATTTAATCATGTGCCCATATTCAAGTGTAGCTGAAGGATTCATATTATCACAAAGTCTTCAACTTGACAACTACAATAGAGCAAACACTGAATTTCTAGGTGTTCGATCAATGTCATGGTTTGAATATAATATATTCATAAGGCCAGAAATTTTGAGTTACCTCTATAACCAACTTCTTTAGCGTAATAGCTCAACTTCATTACACTTACTTGATGAAGATACTTCAATACAAATTTGATTTCTTAAGCTCATCGAGAATAACCTGTTATAGTCTAAGTGTCGCTAGAAGTCAAAAAATTTTATCTTTAGAGTTCAATTCCCAAACAACTGACCTAAACTAAATTCATCCACTCCACCATTCCATTTGTGAAGATTATGATCATCATTTAACATCCTCAACAAAAGTGAAATCTAATTGGTCTTGCAACATTATACACAAGAGATGCCGCAGTTTGTCCGCTCCTATACTTACTTGAATGTCAAGCCCTTTGATCGTCTCTTTATGAGAGGATAAGGTTATCTTGGTACCTATAAGAGAAAGGTATGATATTCAAGTGTATTTTCTAGAGTAGAATCAAGGGTCCTTCTTTTACAAGGGTTTAATATTGTCACTTACTAAATATCTATAACCTTGATTGTTTAAAGAGTTTTTAATTCAATTTATAATTAGAGAATTTCAAGATTAAAATTTACTCATTGCTCATAACCTCAGAAGGTAGAATTTTATTTAATATGCTATAATTTCAAGCGACTTACAAACTTATAAACATAAAAATAAAGAAAAACAAGTTCAAA